TGTCAGGGATTTTTTCAGGATTTTCTCTTGGGTCCGTTTTTGCAGAGAAGATTGAGTTTAGCTGAAGAGCTGGGGTGGCTGCACCCTCCCCCCTGACACCTGTACTCAATAAATGTAGTTGAGATGCAAAGTGTTAAAGCAGGGGCACTAAGGGACACTATAAACTGGTTAAAGATGGCGAATGCATAGTTTTTCTTGTGTTGTGAGATTAATTCCAGCCATTTTTTCTCAATTGTCGGGTTTCCAACTGAATTTAACTCAAACAACTCCATTTTTACTGCACTGAAACTTTGGTGAGAAGATTGAGTTTCAAAACTCAATTCAAGATTGAGTTTTTGGGGCTGTTTTACGGTCCTAAAAAATCCCTGAAAAAAACCTGAATGTGTGGCACCATATATAACAGTTATTTCGCCATGGTTTGTGCCTATAAAGTATGCCTGTTTTCGGCATACGTCACTGTTCTCTGAAATCTACCTATGCAGGAAGTTTTATTTACACAGGATTGAATTTTGCTACCAAGAAGATAAATATATTTTCTAGTCCTGATTTGATGTATTGAACCTTTTAAAGTTGCACTGCATCCTAACCTTACTTTATTATTTTATTCTGTCATTATTTTTACTTGTCAAAGGATGAGTGCTGGCACTCAATGGGTTAATTCATAAAGCTACAATGTTCTCCAGTATGACCAACTGTGTCATTTGGTGTGTTTTCACCCCATACAATTTATTTATAAACTTTACAATCAACAAAACGATTGAAGGTACAGACAACAGGACTGAGGAGTCCCAAATAAGTCCTACCTACACATTACATTGACATTGTAAAACAATAGAGACATGATGTTTGTGTGATGTTACTCTGAGTGTATATCCACACCGAGCAGGCGTGAAAAACATGCCTGGCCACGGTGGGATTCGAACCTACGACCTTTGGAATACTAGCCCAATGCTCTTCCAACTGAGCTATAATGCTCTTCCAACTGAGCTATACGTTAACATCACACAAACATCTTATTCACCTGAGTACATTACACCAACACAGCAGATTTCAATAGAGACATGGTTACAAACTTTAACAAATCTATTTTACCCTTTGTTTTATATTTTATAGGATTTAAGAAAGCCTTTTGATAAAGCATCAAAAGACTATGATGCTAAATAGTAAGTGAATGTACTTGTTACCAAATTAAATGATTGATATAAAGTAGGAGTGGTTGTCAGTTGGTAAAATCAAATCCCAAACATATTATTTACAATAATATTACAGTGTTGCTTGTAGTTCTAAACTTGAAAAAGAGAAGAAACAGCAAGCGAAAGAATCAGGATTAACAAGAACAGAAATTGTACCACAAGAGGTAATAGAACTAGAAATTATCATTAACACTTCACTTTCTTAGAATCATGTACTATTTACCACGTAAGCCAAGACGCACGCTAATTCACAAAACTTTGTAAAAAACCCTCTTCCAGATAGCGGATGAAATGGAGAAAGAAAGACGGTATTTTCAGTTGCATATGTGCGAGGTAACATGTAGTCAATATTTGCTGTTCTTTGCTTTGTAATATGTAACAAATTAATGATCTGATGAGTTCTAATTTCTTCATTAGTATCTTATCAAAGTTAGCGAAGTCAAAATCAAAAAAGGAGTGGATCTAGCGCAACATTTCGTGGACTACTATCACGCACAAAATACGTAAGTCACGAATGGAATTCTGAGAAAATCATGTGTTGCAATCATGGCTGGATTTTGAGGGGAGGTGTGCACCTTCTCTGGGATCGTTTTGCACCTCCCCCGAGAATTTTTGCACCTCGCCTTGGGAAAGTTTCAATGATAGATCAAAGTGAAAATTTGACATTTTTTGGTTGCTTAGGGTCTGCACTTCGTAAGAAAGTTTTTCTGTAAAATTGAAACAGTGATAGCCATTCATCTCTGTATCAAGTATACCATTTTAATGCAAAGTTTTGAAAGAAACTTTGTAATAATTGTAATGAAGGACAAAATTGGATAAGTTGTACAGTCATAATTTATTAATACACTGATACATATTATGTGCACTACATGCATACGTCACGTCGTTGACTTTGGGCTATTCTAAGCCCTAACTTTCCATGGGGGTCGTGAGGTAGACCGCTGCACCTCCCCTAAATTTGTTTCCACCTCCCCCACTATTTCCACCAAAATCCGACCTTGGTTGCAATTAATGAAAGAATATTAAATGTTCCATTCTAGATATTTTGTAGAATGTAGTGAATCGGTAGACTGCATAAGAAGTTATACAGAAACTCTTGTTGGTGAATTAAAACAGGTATGGTAGAGCAACAGTTTTGTTCAATATGAACACAACTTTAATTATGATCTGAGGTGCCAAAATAAATTAATTCCTTATAGATGTGGAACAAACCGGTTTAAAAACTCGTACATCCCATCGTCGATTGGGATTTTTAACGAAAACTGTCAATTGTAAAAACTTCCTATCATAGAAATTTAATGTTTGTGACACTTTTTATACACATTATTATGTAGAATTCTTAAAATCTTAATTAATTGTTGTAAAAATAATTAGTCATACATAAAATTCTATTCACCTGTAATATTAATTTAATTTCGACGTATTTCAACCTTTGGTTGCAAAGTCAAAAACTTAATAAACACATTCACATATTCAAATTGTGTTTTATACTGTAGTGTGCTAATTTTTGTTGTATGTTTAAGCTGCGGATACAACAGGAGAATGAGAAAAAGAATTTAATGATGCTGCGTGATGAAGTAAAAGAAACTCTACAGATAGACAGAGAGGTTTGTCACGATCTTGCATCTTTATTCAAGTGGAGTGTATGTTAATCGTCCTTACTTGCAGCTGAGAGCTAAGCTGAATTGCGAAGGAGCAGCTCAATAGATAGCTTATGATCTACAACGTCGACGTCAGCTAGGATGTCAGGGCTAAGCAGAGGACTGGGACTAGGACGTCGTCCAAAATAAGTAGATAGCTCAAGTATCTACGTCGTCAAATATTTAGGGCGGCAAGTGGAAGTAAATTGGCAATAGTTTTTGAAGTGTGCATGTGTGTCTCTCTCTATTTGCTCGTCGTCCACCAAACGTTGACAACCTCGCAACAAGAGTTTTACCGTCGTAAATACAAGAGCATAACAAACGGTAATGGATTCACACGTCTCTTTTAAATTCATTTTCGAAAGTATGTAAATATTTATAGTTTAAATGTCGACGTCGTGAATCTTAAGTGGAAGTTTATTTATTTAAGACGACGTCCTAGTCCCAGTCCTCTGCTTAGCCCTGACGTCCTAGCTGACGTCGACGTCGTAGATCTTAAGCTATCTATTGACTCATGTGTGATCAAATAGCTACTCATGTGTGATCAAATAGCACAACTATGGTGGAAGGGTCAATTACTGTAAGGGCTATTCCCAACCTACCCAGGCTCTTCCCTCGAGCGTTGACTATCTCTTTTCATTATAAGTGTCTGAAATCCGTCTTCTAATATGAATTCAGATAATTGTTGGCCTCTTTAAACACTATGTTGGTGATATGTTGGTTGATTTTGCATTGAGTATGACTTAAAATTTTCATCCAACTTTCTCCAACGCAATGACAATGTGTCAGTGGCAGCAATGGATATAGGTCATGTTACAATCAACTTCTACATATTGTATTTAGAAAAGTCTTGAAAGAGCTGGCTATACATTGCATGGTCAACAAGGAGATATTAATCATGGCACGATGATTAAAGGTTATCTATTAAAGCGAAGTGAAGGGTAATGCCTTGTATTATTAATATATGAAAAATATTCTATATCTTTGACGAAGATTCTGTGATAGTTATGGCTTAATTGTTCTATGTTAATTTTCATGTTGAAATTACTGTAATGTACCGGTATACAAAATTGATATGCCATATGGAATAAATTTTTTTGTATTTTTTCAGAGTACGTAAAGTGTGGCAAAAAAGATATTGTGTTGTAAATAACGGTCAATTAACTTTAGCATACTCAGCGGTAAGAACTTTTCCAAATTTATTTTATGTACGTTCTCCTGCGTTTTGCGTTTCTCGAGAGCGGCATAATATACAGTAGAACTCTATAAAAAGTTATCTTTCTCATTATTCCTTCAGAGCAGTGCACCAAATCACACATTAAACCTTCTAACATGTCAAGTCAAGGTACAGCATGTTATCTTACCTTTCTGCTTCCAGTTCTTTCATTTTGAATTCATTCTTGTTCTGTTTCGTTTTCAGGGTTCTGTTGAGAAAGAGGGCAAGAAAAGCCCAATATTTATATTAGTTACACGTACGTAATCTATCGTCTTTCTTGATAATAAATTGAACAAAAGGCCGGGGATTTCATATTTGGTTAAATGATGGACAAGTTTACACACCCAAAATTTTTTTTGAAAGGTCGCATTTTTATGACTTGTGACTTGGCTTACAACTTGGACAAAATGACTTGTGACTTGACTTGCAAAATAAGACTTGTTAACAACTCTGCAGATTAACGAAGCAACTAAAAATTGGAATATATTTCCAACCCTGAAGATCTGGAATTATTGACTCTCTATAAATTTCTGCTGGTATCAATTTCAGATAATAGAAATTACCTATTCCAAGCCGAGGATCACGCGGAAATGGAGAGGTAGTTGTGTGTGTTTACTAAATTATTTTCTATATAAATAATAATAATAATTACAATTTATATAGCGCAAATTGCATTAAAATATGATCAAATCATTTAATAAACATAATAAGCTAAGAAGGGTTCTAAATGATTTTGATATTTCAGATGGATGTCAGTCTTGAGTAACAGTAGAAAAGAAGCCTTAGAAAAAGCATTTGGTGAACATGGCAATGGCTTGGTAAGACAGTTAATTGTAACATTTCAAGTTAATTGTAACATTTCAAGTTAATTGTAACATTTCAAGTTAATTGTGACATGCACAGCTAATTGTAACATAATTGTAACTTTGATTGTTTTAACATGAAAATCATTTACTGAATAATAAATAATTTTCCTAGCAAAAAGATAACTCGACGGATGAAGCAAATGATCTCAGACAGAGAATTGTTCGTGTTGTTCAAAGCTTGCCTGGGAATGATATCTGTGCGGACTGTAATACTCCAGGTATTTTGGAAGTTTAGAAATCATTGGTTTCTGACATCATTTCTGACATCATTTCATTTAACTGCAGGTTAACCACCATCGACTGCACGATAATGCTTAAGTGAAACCATGTAGCAGACATATGCTCTGTTTTCCCCTTTAGAACCGACGTGGTTATCAACAAACTTGGGAGTTTTGACATGCATTGAATGCTCAGGCATCCATCGAGAAATGGGAGTTCATGTCTCTAGAGTGAGATCATTAACTTTGGATAACTTAGGAACGGCTGAGCTCTTGGTAAGAAGAACAACGTTTACACATTCGGGAGTGTATGCGACTCTACGTCTTCAAATCCCTTGCCTTAACTTGCACCAAGTATTTATCTTATATGACTCGCAATGTCAAGTTTAATAAATAAAATATTCTTCATTGTAATCTAGATTGCAAAAGCGATTGGCAATGGTGGGTTTAACGAGATAATGGAAGCGACTTTAGATGATGATTTTGTTAACCGAAGTCAAGCAGTAAAATGTAAGTTTTTGTTCCAAGCTTGAAAGACACTGGTGTTGTGTGTGATACATAAGAATTCTTATTGTATTCTAGGGAGGAAAGAAAAGAGTTTATAAGAGCAAAATATATAAATCATCAATATGCGCAAAAACTGGAAGAAAGCCCATCAGCTCTTTCAAAGGTTCGTACAATGCCCCCCCCCCCCGCCCCCCTCCTCCTCTTAATCCACATGCTTCCTGGTGTTATTGTCACTACCTTCGCTGGAATATACCGTTAAAGTTACCTCCCCAGTATTACTGCAAGAGCTTTCTTAGCTGTGTATGAATTGTTGTTGATCTTTATATATAGGGTCTGGCTAAAGCTGTTCATAAGAAAGATATCTTGGCAGTCTTACAAGTGTTTGCTGAAGGAGTTGACCTTAGCGCACCATTACATGACCAGGTCAGTTACTCCTGGTTACTCAACACCTAACCTGAAGTTCAGGCCCTAATCACAGAATAGGGCCTGACACAAAACCTATCTAAACTGTGGGATTCCCGTCCACCTGGTGGACGGGAAATCTGATTGGTTGATCAGCATCATGAAGGATTTTGATTGGTTGCGAGTTCACATAAACAACAGTTTTAAAAATAGCTCGGTCAAGGGCTCAAGGCGAGAATTACATGTAATATAAAGTTCAAACGCACGTAACAAATTCCATTATCGATTTCTTCGAATTTCTTTTCTTTTATGCTTTATGGCAGAAAATAAATCAAACAAACAGTATTTTGAAAGGGCTTCGTCAAAATCTTTGACGAATTTTGGACACACACAACGCTGAAAGAACAGCCAAACTAGTCATGTATTCGAAAGATTGTTGTTGACAGCCAAGATGTTCTGCCAACTGGCTTCGCCGGCAAAAGTCTTATTCTTAATATCAGGTCCTACCGGCGTTGTTTTCTGAGCTACATCGCCTTCTTCGTGGTACGATTGAGAATTTAGTCGTTACAGTATATCCGCGTCCAGCAAGTTGAGACCTTGAGAAAGCTTGACAGTCAAGCCGTGCACAGAACTGACTAATTAAATCTTTGTTTGCTGTTCGGTTAAATAGAGAAACTGACTCTTAATTATATAAAAGTACCTTGAATTTTTAAGTTTAATTAAAAAGCAAAATGCACACTCTGCGGACATGTTCATGAGAATACAATTTTTTTGTGTAACGATACTAACGAAATCTACAACACTTGTCAATCATATTGCATGTGTGTCTAAAAATAACATGTGGGCGTCCCACGGTCTAGACAGGTTTTGTGTCAGGCCCTATTTCAAATTAGGGCCTGAACTTCAGGTCACTTAATGATGGATGTAACACCCCAGAATCGATTATACGATGATAATTGTTAATAAACAATAGGTCAATTGCAGTGGCAGATTTTTCAGTAATTCTTGTAGGAGTTTTAATAAGTTGTTCCAAGTAATGCAAATTTCCAAAGCGAATAAGTTGTTGTCGTAAAGAGTCTTTCTTTGCCGCTAGAACATTAACATTGAAATCGCCCAAAATTATAATATCGGCTTCCGAGGGAACAGTACATAATACATTACTTAAACTTTCAATAAAATGTTCAAGTTTCTTGTCAGGAGCCTTATATATAGTAAATATGAAAAGTTTCCTAGCTTTTACTCGATTGACTTCAATAACACAGGATTCAATATTCGGTGCTTGCAAGTCAGAGCGCACACAGTAAGGCAAGCCATCACGAATATAGGCTAAAGTACCTCCCCTGATACGACTATCTCTGTCATTCCTCGATAAAGTATATCCAGGGATATAAATTTCATTATCAGATACATTAGCTTTCAGCCACGTTTCGGACAGAGTTAACACATCAAAAGGGTTTTCCTTTAAGAAGATACGTAATGAGTCGATCTTACCGATCAAACTTTGAACATTGAGGTGAGCGATCATTAGTCCACGAAATCGAGGGAAATCGTTAGATACTGGTCCAGGATTTACTGAGATAACATTCGAAGTAGAAATTAAAACTGCGGCCAGGAAAGCTTTCTGTAAAAGGTAGCAGCTAGACATCACAAGCTTAGCATTCGTTAGTGGGACACGTAATGATTTGCCGGTTGATCGAAGAGGTTGAGATGTTGTTGTTGGAATTGCCGGCTTCGAAACAACAGCTGCAGCATACGGAATATCACAATCGACATATCGAGAGTGCCAAAGTGATTCTCCAGACTTGTTTAGATTTGATATTAGTAGATAGAAAATCAATACAGCAACCAACTGAGACAGCGAACACAGTTGACGACCACACAACATTTTGTTAATATATACGTAATATAAACGTAATATTTTTATACTATAAGAATCGAAACCTTTGCCAGAAAAGTGAACAGGTTTTCCCACAAACCAAACGAAGGTAACTGGCAATGCGCCCGCATGCACCCGCAAATGACACCTCGACTTGCAGGGAATGATATTTGAGCATGTGTTTATTGGGTTGCCTAGCAACGGATACGAAAATAGAATGCGAAATTCGAGCTTTTCAACAGTGTATGATGCAAGAAAATTGGTTGAAAACTCACAAAGTTTTTCAAGTTTTTATAACCTTAGTTTTTCAAAAATAATGGCGATACTGTTGCAAAGAAGGATGTCATGGCAAGTTTTAAAAGCAAAGCGAATGTATTGACGTTTTTGGCCAAGTTCTTCTGTTAACCTAGTGCGAGATTTTCAGTCAAAAAGGTGAGGATTTCTCCAAACTTTATTCAAAATAGAAGTCGGAAAACACAAGAAAGATGAACACGGAACACAAGTAAGCAGATACGATTTTTTAAGGGTATTTTTGAGTAGAAATATGCGATCAAACACTCACAAAATTCGATAGGCTGCGTAGCAGTCGCTTTATTTTTTTTTTATTTGAGGATATTTTAATGTGAAAAAAAAGGCGGAGAAATACGGCGATGGGGAAAAGGGCGATGGGGAAAAGGGCGATGGGGAAAACAGGGAAAGATAAAGCGCCTGCAACCGGCCTTAATGTCAATTAATTTCACATTCAGATTCTGAACGGAAAATACTGATTGGTCAAAATCTGACTCAAGGTGTCTTACTTCCAGTCCGTGAAATTAGCATTTTGAGTAATACAAATGGCGACGTTAAATGAATGTTTATGAACGAAGCGCTGTGTAAAATTTTTCAAATAACAGGTAAAGGGCTAATCTTGAAAGAAGAGCAAAAAGAAGCAGTAAAGTGTCTTCTTTCTGGAAGGGATGTTCTTGCGATCTTGCCAACAGGCTTTGGCAAAAGCCTGATTTTTCAATTATTTGCTATTGCAAAGTCAATCAAAGCTACACGAGCCGGCACCAGCCTTGGGTACTGTTCTTGTCATTTGTCCTTTGGATAGTATTGTGAAAAATCAACTAATGGAGGCTGAGTCATATGGGCTTAAAGCCGTTTCCCTTTCAAGTTCAGAAATGTTTGAACAAATCAATGGTGCCCCTGATGTTGTATTCGCCTCTGCCGAAGCAGTGAGTCAGAAGGCATTTAGGGAATCACTGAAGAGAACACGAAATATCCACGCTATAGTTATAGACAAGTCACATACTGTGGAAACATGGACAGGAAGAAAGTAAGAAACACAACATTTACTTTTGATCGATTTCTTATTGATGAATTTTAATTACTTCCAAAGCTTCAATCTTCATATTATATTATATTATATATATTATATTATATTATATTATATTATATTATATTATATTATATTATATTATATTATATTATATTATATTATATTATATTATATTATATTATATTATTTACACACCTGTAGTGTATATATATATATAAATTGATACTCCTCCCATGTCGAAGAATACATTGGGAAATTTCTCAATAAATTGTTTATATTATTGCTTCTTATTTGGGTGTGTATTCTCTTACAGAAACAAGAAAGACAAAGTTTTCAGAAGTGCTTATGGGGAGTTGTCAATTCTGCGATCCTTTTGTAAGAAAGGTTTGTACTCCTGTATTGTTTGTTTGGAATATTAAAATCAAATTTAAAACAGATATTACTAAAACATGTTGTCTTGCACCCCAATGTGTTCTACTTTATTATTTTTGTCTAATGCCGGAATCTTTTACTTGTCAATTGGAGGGTTTCACAGCTTTGAATTTTATTTGAGCGACTGCTATGCAGGTTAGAATATTGGTCAACCCATTAAGGTGTATTAAATTAACCCTGCTACCCCCTTCAACGTTCTAGTACATTTACCATTATTGAAAGTACATACTCCCCTCCCCATCTGAGCAGCAGAAATTTTATCTGTGGGGGTAGTGAGAATCTTTTCTGGAATTACCTATTGTAAAGTACATAAGATATGGTACAACATTTAATATAAAATATAATTTTGCAGACGCACCATTCCTAGCACTAACTGGCACTGCTGACAAGAAAACCCAGGGTACTATTATTAGTCAGCTGTCACTACATGACCCAGTGAAGCTATTAATCAGTCCAGAGAGGAAGAATTTACGCATCTGAGTGACAAACTGAAAAAAGACCACAATATTTGGAAAACTGGATTGGCCGATTGACTTAGCTTTGGAAAAAGGGGTGAATATGCCAAAAACAATCGTGTTCTGCAATATGATGAATGAAATGGCTCCCGTCTGAAATTATTTGTTTATAAAAATGGGAAAATACATATATTATGAAACAGCAGATGGTGAAAGATCCTGCATTGTTGACACATACCATTCCATGACTTGGGCTGCCACTAAGAAAAGACTTCTTGCTTCATTTAAGGGTTCTGGGGATGATACCAAAATAATTATAATTGCTTCAACAGCGCTGAGTATGGGTGTTAACTTTCCTGATGTACATTATGTGATTAACTGGGGGCCACCAAGGACACTCGTAGACTATCATCAAGAAGCAGGATGAGCAGGTTGAAATGGAGGGCATGCCCACAGTATAACAATCTACCATAGCAACCAGACTGCTCACTGTGAAGATGATGTTAAACAATTTGTTCGTACAGAAGGATGCTATTGTGTGGCAAGTTTAAAGCCTTTTGTTCCTAATGTTGTGACTGTAGAACCTCTTCAAGACTGTTGCAGCAATTGCTGCCTTAATTGCAAGAGCAGTGATAGCTGTAGTGGTTCAAATCTTCCATTTGAAAAAGATCTTGTATCAGACCAGGAAGCACCTCAGCCACTAAGGAAGAGAGATACTAGTGACCAACAGAGAAATGACATTTGTGATGCCCTTATGGAACTCAAGGACAAGTTTAAGCACCATTGCCCTCCAGAGGTCCATGGTTTTTTGGAAGAACTTGTTCTAGAGTTAGTTAATAATTGCTCTACTATATTCACTGTCAGTGACATTTTGAAATTTCCAGTATTTTCAGTTAGAACTGCATTGCAAATACTGGAGGTATTTCAGAATATTATTGATGACACAGAAGAAGAAGACAACACATCTGAGATCTTTTCAACACCCGATATACATGTATGTGAAGGATTAAACTTTGATTTTACTGACATGGGTAATGAAATATGTGCAGCAGAGTGCCTCGGTGATGAGGAAATTGAAAACTTATTCTGAGTGCATGTTGAGGACAATTATAAACTCAAACATTCTGTGCCAGGATAAGTAGTGACAATAACACCAGAAAGCTGTGGATTGAGAGGGATTCAACTGAGAAATGCAAGTAAAACTTCAACATTTTAATGAGAAGATAGTAGCATGGATTGTGACAATACTAGTGAATATAAAAGCAATCATATGGCAAAAAATGTAAACCACATTACAGAATATTATATCACTAAGCTGAACAAGCAATAAGGTAAGAATTAAAGTTCCGCAAGGACAGATATAGCTAAACATAAGAAAAAAGTTCATTATTTTATACCATAGGGCGGACAGTGCTAAGTTTGGAAATGAGGAGCATTTAATTTTGTTGAGGCTATCATATGTACTAACAGTATATGATGTTACAAAAGTTTGAAACTGGTCTTGAAATATAATATTAGTATAATTGTATGATCATCATATTATATGGAAACATTACTGCTTCAGAAGCTATTACTGAATACAAGCTAAACTGTTGCTGTCTGTTGTACCTGTAATATTGTACATGTGGAATTATACTGTGAAGCATGTGCTTTACTTTTTTTTTGCGAGGTGTATTTACTCAGTCCATTTTTGGACATAATTTAAAAGCTCAAAAGAGTACTTGATTCACAGGCTTTAAATTTGTAAAAATTGCAACAACTGATTGCAGCCTTACTTCCACGTAATGGTGACAAAATTATTGGAAACATATCGTATCTAAATCACTATCTTGACAGCCATCTCATTTAAATTTAAAAGCCACAGTGACAAATTAATTTCAACCTGTTTGTGATAAAACTAGCCTCCTCCACAGGCAACTCTGAAGTTCTGTAGATCATATTTTGTTGTATTTCCTACATTCCTGATAAATCTTTTATAGTTGTTGATATGAATTTTTGTTCAGAACATATTTTAACGTTGCAGAACTACAGTGTTGCCTGCGGAGGAGGCTAATAAACAATCATACAGTTGGCTCATATATAGATTCCCATAGTTTGATATGCTCACTTATCCAGCTGTGAACTTCGCAGTGATCAATGTCTCTCAGATAAGTCGTCCATCAAAGTGTGGAAATGAAGCATGACCTTCTCTGCCTTCTGTAAAATGAAATACTTTTTCAGCAACAAGATCATCTATTATTTGCCAGACACTCTCTTCCTGATTTGGCACAGAGTGTCGTCCCAATCGTCCGCCATACCTGCAGACTGCATTCACAGATTCCATAACAGCTTCAAGAGGCTCTAATGCATGAGCCACCAAGGGCTCTCCAGAAGGTCTTGAGAACCTTGTTTTGTTGCTCTTTCTTAAGGTCCAATGAAATATTGTTACCTTTACCACCATACTTATTGTAAAACCTGTTCCATTTCCATCTATGGGCATCAAATTCTGGGAGTATAGCAACAATCTTTAGAAGGTGAAGCAGGACAAAATAGGCATATTTTGTGTGTTTTTCACTGTGATAGAGCAACAGAGCAAGCTTATATAAAACAAATAGGTGTTCACCATCCCCTTCTCTGATAGTATCATTAAAATCTCTTAACAGCAAGCCAAACATGAGCTTTGACTGATGATAGTTAAATTTATAGTCAGACTTTGGCAAGATGCAGTTGTCATCCTGAACTTCATTATCTAGTTGTTCAAAGTCTCCATATTTGTCTCTCAAGTGTCTGTAATTACAAAAACATAATGAATATTATATAGAATAAAAATGTTGCAATAATAACAATGAAGGAGATTAAATGTAAATTAGTGCAAAACTGAATAAAATATAATTATATGAAATATATTGCAACATTCAGCTTTGCACTAATTTACATGATACTGTATATGGTACATGCAGGTACATACTGTACAGTCAGTGGTACTGCAAGTTTAATCTCCTTCATTGTTTATGTTTTGTCAATTAAAAGTTTAGGAACAACGTGGATTTGTCATATCATTATATCATTTAGGTTGCCATATCATGACCAATTTCTTTGTACCTGTTTTGGGCTGTTTTTGTACTGAACACGTATCCACATCCTGCTGCACAATTGTAGTATCCAAATTCATCCTGATCTGATGCAGTGCACTCATTGAATTCTTGTGTACATCTATTTCATGTCTTGAAAAGGAAAAAGGACAGATAGAATGCTTTCAGACACAGGTTATCTGATTAAAAGACAGTTTACATGTCAGTAGTTTATTTGATTTTTAAGTTCATTGAGGTTCTATGCATCAGCAACTGAAAATATGGTAATGTTTTTTGTTGTACACAAACAGAGAAAATGCAAAATATTCGGTGATTATTTTAACTCATTGAGTGGCAGAACTCTCCCCCTGATGAGTAAAATCTTCTGGCATTAGACAAAGTAAAATAACAAATCAGGGCACATCTGGGCATATTGCCACTTAAAGGGTTAATGTGCAGTGATCATCAATTTGGGCAGTGATCATCAATTTGGGCAGTGATTAACCCATTGAGTGGCAGCACGGTCCCATCCAGGGGCGGATCCAGCTCCGAAACTGACCGTGGCTCCTAAATCATGGTCAACACGGGGGCATGCACCCCCGGAAAATGTTTGAAATTTGAAGCCCGGAAACACCATTTCCTGCAATCTAAGCGGCGTATTTTCTCCTCAAATTTCGGTCTATGGACGGTGAAGCATGTCCATCATTTGCTTTTGGTGGTTGTGATATTAATTAAATTAAATATGTCAACAGTTTGGGTAGGATAGTATGATTAAATTGTAAGCCAATTACCATCGCTAAGGTAAACATCATCGACGTGAATTTGTGATTATGCACATTATGCATTGCTTCTTCAGTAAGTGCTGCTGTATGATCATATTTTCAAAAACTGACATGGTAGTATCAGACAAGCACTTTCCAAAGGCAATTTTAAGCCAAGTGAATGCTCCATTCTCAATGGGTGTATAAGAAAAAAAAGTAAACAATTTGAACCGGCTCTCAATGTCACCAATCTGTTCATGCCATTAAATATTTGATAAAGATAAATTCGTAAAGATAAATTTTCCAAAGCAGGGGGGTGGGGTCTTTCTTAGCAGCATTAATGTAAAATAGCTTGCACATGAAATTTAAAAGGTTAAAATGCATTTTGAGTTGATAGACAAGAAATTTGTTATGTGTTTTATTAATGGTCCAAATATCAGAAAATTTGCTCAATTTTAAGTCCTTCAAATAGGCACTGAAACTATAATATTTGGCACAAATGCCTTTCATGCATGCTTAATTCATGCATTTTCCTAATTTGCATATTGTTACTTCACTTTTTTTACAACATAGTTAAAGAAATCTATGTTAAATTAACCAATTGGTGTGCAAGGTCTTTCCAATAATGAGTAAAATTACCCAAGAACTAGACAAAGTATTAGTGTAGCACAGAATGTGGTATTTGGGTGTGTATTATGACGACAGTAATTGAGTGAACTATCATTATCATTTGCTTGCATGGCCAATATCTACATGGTTGTTTGAGTAACAGGTATATAAGACAATGGGGGAAGATGTGGGTGACTACCATGTTACCACCCAGTTGCCAGAAATGTCAATTCTTTAACCTATTGAGAGCCAGCACTCTCCCCTTGACAAGTAAAGTCATTTGGTGTTAGACAGAGTAAAATAATAAAGTACGACACTTTAGGCCTCATTAGGGCACACTGCAACTCAATGGGTTAAACTTATATATACATCTCTTGCAAATTTGCTTAATGTATATCCCACCAATTTATAACTTTCAATTAGATGTAAAAATAGTAAAATTATTAATTTTTACAGCTTTGTTACACATGTAGTTATTTAGCCACCATTCAATGACTTTCAGGAATTATTTGGGGAGGGGGTAACTGGCCCACCATGTATGCACCGATAATAAGAATAGTTATATCAGTAATCTAGGTGTAGTCTTACATGACATTTCCTCCATTTCCATGATTGTTTAAATGCTCATGAGTGTAACAGTGTGGTTGCAACATGCTTTCAAGTGTTTAATGGCTCAATGTTATGTTGCTCCATAATGGGACTCTTTGCTTGACAACCTGCCTAAAGCCTGATTCACAGTTAGTGATTTTGTTCATGATGGATTCAAATGAGTGGGCTTGCACACAATCAGTTTTCGCAAGTTATGCTTCCATGCCTTTTGCATGTTACTCGTCTAGTCGTCACCCCCAGCAGAAGAAATATTTGCCAACAAAAGATTTGCTGACTGAGAACCTGAATTAAGATCATCTCAAAACACATCTCAATATGAAGATGGCTCACTTCCATATAAACACATCCTAATTCTATCCACTATTATCTGACAGAATAAAAAGGATATTCAATATATAAATAAAACATATGCCACCATACTGCACAATATCACCAAAGTAACCTTGAATTTGTAAACATATTGTATTGCCAGTATATATAGGCGCTATATAACTAATGCATACTTGTCAACACACGGTATAATTGTTGTTAACAAATTGTTATACGGATCTATTAAAGTGCATATGACATTAATACCATTTTTTCACCAAAAATCAGCAAACATTACCCAATTCGAATGATATATATCATTCCTTGATCGGATAAATACTTCCAGAGATAATTTAGATCAAACATGCAAAAAAATAGGGTTTTTCAAGACATGGCCAGGAGAAAAGAGGCTGAGTACGAATCAAGTTTGTGATGTCACACCGGGGACGGAAGTGAAACGACTCATGTTGTATTACAATAAATATCTATTGTGTGCAATGAATATTTGTATACTTTGCACCTTGAAATGCCTGTTAGATATGTTGTATACGGTTGTTACAACACAACAGATGCTGCAAATCAAATAGCTCTACATCCAATACCATATTATGGAGATTTTTGGCTGCAGTCATTAAGGAGAAGGAAACATTGGATAGATTTGGATAAATTGAAGCGAGCCAGATCGGAGCCGTCTCGTCAATTGTCAAAGGCATGTTTGCACAAAGACATGCATTTCATGTCGAGGCTAAAAGAATGCACATTTCCTCGACTGAATGAGATATGAAATTGGGATTAGCGTTTATCTGACTGTACAAACTGCGGTCAAAAGGCAGGAGGACATATAATAATGCCTCTGTAATAATGCTATTAAAACTGCGAGGGTGATTTTATATACACGCAAGGTGAGACAATGTCTTATATTGCCTTTAATATACCTGGTTTTATATTTGTTGAGAATGATAGTATTGGATATTAAAAATAAAAGAAACTTTATTAAATACAATTGTATTATACCACATTAAAATTAGATAAAAGTTCTTTAAAAGTTTGTTGTTAAAACAGGACCCAGTATTAAAATATTCAATGTTCATATTTGAGTGCATCTATAATCAATAATGCCCCAACTGCATTCGATACTTCAATGTTACCAATGTCCTGGAGCCTCGTAAACATAGTACTGCAGTTATTAGCAGATTAAAAGAACATTGGTTTCATAGACATTCTGCACCATATCTAGTCCACTGAGTTATTGCATTTACTACTGAATATTAAGTGCTTATGGATGCTATATAACCAAGTGTATATCATGCAATATAAAAGACATTGTTTAACGTTGCGTCTAATTCGCCTTTTAATCTAATTTTAATGTAGTATTAGTCAATAGAATCTTTGTAGTGGAGGTACACACAAGCCTATAAAAGATCAAAATATCTTCTCGACGTTTCGAGCAAAGGCCCTTCGTCAGGAGCGACGCTGAACAACCACAAGACTTATGTATTTAATAAAGTTCCTTTTATTTTTCATATCCATTATTATCATTCTCAACAAATATAAAACCAAGTATATTAAAGGCAATATAAGACATTGTCTCACCTTGCGTGTATATAAAATCACCATCGCAGTTTTAATAGCATTATTATATGTCCTCCTGCCTTTCGACCACAGTTTGTACCGTCGGATAAACACTAACCCCAATTTCATCCCTCATTAGTTGAGGAAATGTGCGTAAATGTGAGGAAATGCACTTTAAAATTCACAATTTAATATACCAACCAGGCAGTTACATGTAATATTATTTCACATTGCATTGTAACTTTATCACAAAGAAATTAAATTAATTAAATATATATACTGAATCCACTGCATAAATAAAACATTGCTAATATTTCGCTGTAATATATTCAATCACAATAAATTTACATATACACACTTTGCATACAAGTTCTAAATATTAGAATTTAGATTCAGTCTCACCTTGCCGGTATTATATCCGCGGACCATGGCTCAAAATCGCAGTCGCATTTTACGAACTTAGAATGATCAACTTCGAGTAGTTCTCGGTTATCGTCATAGCAAACATTCAACATTCAGCAAGTGAGGGGTTTTCCCTACCTCCTCCACAGGCATTTTTGAGGGGTTTTCCCAAGGTTTTGGACCTTTTACAGCTCGGGAATTACATCTTTTGAGATATTTACGTTTTCATTTTGCGATTTTGTTGAAAATCAAATAACAGTAAGATGTAACGATGGGAGTATATATTTGTTTAAATTTAAAAGGTTTGGGACACGTTTATATGTATAAATAACGATCGCTTCGTCCTTATAGACATGTTAGAGAATACGACGATCGCACAAATCTGACCGTAGCTCAAGCCACGCACGCTTGCCACCCCCTGGATCCGCTCCTGCCATCAGAGCACATTGCTATTTAAAGGGTTGATGATGTTGGTGCAGTGATAGTGTAAAAACAATGTTGTGCTTATCACTGCACAAATAAGATTATAGCTCCAATACAGTTTAAATTAATTGTGCTACTGAACATGGATTATTTCAAATATTTGTGCAGTGATAAAAAGTTCTTGAAATAAGGCCTATTAAAAAAATATTTCTGTTTTTCATCGCCGCCCGCCCCTGAAAATTTGGCTGCCCGAAAATTTTTTGAAAATTATTCTCGGTTTTTGTTAGGAGCCGTCAGAAAATCAAATCGGATACCGAGCAGTGGGCGCCATGATGCGCTGTCCTTTTTGATATTTTCACAATACTTCAGTGTTCAGTCAAGCATGCTGTTTATTGTCATGCAAATTAGATCTGGTGCGCAGGTTTTGAAGCCCTGGATAGGCACAAGAGTGGCAGATAATGCTATACTCTGAACAATGTAGATAAAAAGAAAAAAATAAATGAGTATAAAAAGAAAAAAAAATTCTGCCCGCCCGCCCCAATTCTATTCCAAACAAATGATGAAAAACAGAAATATTATTTTAATAGGCCTAAACCCAGTAATTGCTGCCGAAGGCAGCCTCCTATTCTTGACGATGTGTTATGGCGCATTTGAATTTCCCGCCAACAGTTTTATAAAGTTGAAGCGTATCTCGATTTTGTATCGTTCAAGTGTTTGTCGGCAGTTGTGACGTCAAATTATGACGTAGCAGTAAGGAATTTACACTGGAGCATTAGCATACCCCAGGAGTTCACAATAGCAAATCGATGACTGCCGAATACTTTGTACAGCGACTGCGAACGACGTTCCAAGTATGGCGTTTAAAAATATTTCGATCAGCAAGCTTTGTAGCATTTTAACACGAGGTCAGGAGCGAAGCAAAGACATACTTTGTATTAAAATACTGGCCTTATATTCAAGTTGTTTGAGAAAGGGAGATCGTTTACAGGTATGTAAATTTGTTTAATTTATTAATGTAGCATATTCATCACAAACTATAATGTTTCCTGACATATAAAAGGGGGTATTTTCAGGTATCTTCTAAAAATTATTAGTGGTCATTGTTTCCTAGTGTCCTCCATCCAGTCCTGTTCAGGAAGTTGAGGGTATTTAGCAAGATTGTATCTAATGTAAATGTTTATATCTATTTCAGGTTCGTATTGGCATCATTTGCATTAATACAGATTCTTGGGGCCATTGTGTTCACGCTGATCAACAACAATCTGATCAGACACTTTTGCAAGTGTGACTTGCTGGGTGTTTCGAAAACGAGGACCTACGAAAACGAAGACCGAAGACCTAAGATGGGTCTTCGTAATTACGAAAACGAAGACCCACGACGAAAACAAAGACCCATCTTTGTTTTCGTACTACAAAAACGAAGACCCTAAAATATTTATTTACATTGTTTTTGCGAAAATAAGCGTTTAAATTTCAATATGTTTTCAGGGGGTTGACTATACCTCTCGTTAGGGCACTTCCTAAGAACACAGCGTATACTGGAAAAATCCCTTACGCTAAATTAACTTGAATCACTGAGACATCTGTGTGTACCATGTACATACTCTGTGGTTCTATTGACCGTCGTATTAATGATTCAAACTTAACTGATTTGCCCAGACATTGACAATAGTACAGCAATTAAATAAATACATGTCGAATATTTGTTAACATTGTAATTCTGACATTCTGTTGTTAACATTTTACATTTTAAAATTATTTAGTTACTTGTCTGATGTTTGCCTTTGACTATATTAAAAATACTTGAGTGATTTACTGAATACTGGTTTAGGTTTCTAGTGATTCTATTTTATTGCTGAATCGTATTTTCCTTGATCATATTGACATATATACCATAACATATTATTATTCCTTAATTTTTTCCAGCAATTTATCGGAAATTTTTCGCGACACTTTTACGCTTATTTTATCTTAGGGTCTTCGTTTTCGTAGTACGAAAACAAAGATGGGTCTTCGTTTTCGTAGTGGGTCTTCGTTTTCATAATTACGAAGACCCATCTTAGGTCGTAGGTCTTCGTTTTCGTAGGTCTTCGTTTTCGAAACACCCGTGACTTGCTATTATCAATATATATTCAAACAAAGCAAAGTGTGAACTCGCTATTCAAACCAAGCGAAGTATTTGCTCGCTATCAATATAAAATCAGGCGTGATTTGCGTCTGCTAACTACATACATAACAAGGCATAATTTGTGCCTGAACAACAAACAAACAAACAAACACTGTTTTTGTGTCTATTCTCTATAAACACAGTAACACGCACAGCATATTGTACTATATACAGGAGTATGGTCCAATACCACGACACGGATCGTGGATTTGGTAACTACATTGTGCAGATGGTGAATTGGTTCACTGATGGTGAATTGGTTTCACAATCCGTAAACCATATGGAGTCATGGACGATCTGTGCAGATGGTGAGTTGGTTGACGGATGGTGGAAGTGGTTTCACGATCCGTGAATGGTGCACATGGTGCCAGAGGGTAGACCCCAAAACACTGACGATCCGTGGGGATGGTGCGCATGGTGAATTGATTGACGGATGGTGGAAGTGGTTTCACGATCCGTGAATGGTGCACATGGTGCCAGAGGGTAGACCCCAAGACAATGACGATCCGTGCGGATGGTGCGCATGGTGAATTGGTTGACGGATGGTGAAAGTGGTTTCACGATCCGTGAATGGTGCCAGAGGGTAGACCCCAAAACACTGACGATCCGTGGGGATGGTGCGCATGGTGAATTGATTGATGGATGGTGGAAGTGGTTTCACGATCCGTGAATGGTGCACATGGTGCCAGAGGGTAGACCCCAAGACACTGACGATCCGTGCGGATGGTGCACATGGTGAATTGGTTGACGGATGGTGAAAGTGGTTTCACGATCCGTGAATGGTGCACATGGTGCCAGAAGGTAGACCCCAAGACACTGACGATCCGTGCGGATGGTGCGCATGGTGAATTGGTTGACGGATGGTGAAAGTGGTTTCACGACCCGTGAATGGTGCACATGGTGCCAGAGGGTAGACCCCAAAACACTGACGATCCGTGGGGATGGTGCGCATGGTGAATTGGTTGACAGATGGTGAAAGTTGTTTCACCATCTGTGAATCACACACGTTGCAACAGGGTGAAATATGGGTAAATGGTAGTACTTTTTGTTGAAAATGAGTGGAGACAAAAATATTTACATACACATGTTTTGTTATCTGCGTTTTTATGGCGACATTAACTTTCGCGTATAATTTGTACAGAGTGTTTGTTGACCTAGTAGACACTTAACTGCGATGATGGTAATTATGCACCTATCAATGTTAAGCCCCAGGGGGGGGGGGGGGGTCAGGCATAGGTGGGGCATTTGATGTTTTGAGCAAATTTTCAATCAAATGCCCCACCGTCGGGCAATAAATATTGGTCAAATGCCCCACCATTTTGCAATAAATTGCAATAAATACTATACTAATAAAAGTCATTCGGTTCAAATTGCCCCAACTCGGGCCAAAATGCTGATCAAAATCCCCAGGGTGGGGATGCAATTGATGATCAAATACCTCACATATGCCCGACCCCCCCACCCCCCTGGGGGTTAACATTGATAGGTGCATTACGATAACTACTGTTGTTGTTTGCTGGCAGAGAATACAAATTTAAAATACATAATTTTAATTTGATCGTACCTGCTCTGGTAAACTTTATAAAATATTGAGAGCATTCAGCGAATTATCCAATTTGCACGTTCAGAATAAATATTTGTTTGTATTTGTGTATTCTTAAATGATGAATGTCCATTGCACTGCACCGAGTGTTATTTATATATACAACTTTCGTTCTCACAAAGACACATTACCGGTAGAAGTATTTTTTCCTTGGTTTGTGGAGAATGGATATCAAACTGACAAATCAAACTCGGATCAAAATTTGGCGATCGTGCGATTAAAACATTTGAAATATGGGTATCCTAAGAGCTCCGTCACACGTGTAGTTTGACATTACCAGCCCTTCTGAAACACTTTAATGAAAGTATAGTTCACAAAATTCATATTTTCACTTACCTCTTAACATCTGTTTTAATCCAACTAGCTCCGTAGGCACGAGCAAAATGTAGTGTTGATGTAAATATCCATTTAGTTCATGTTTCCCCGGTGAAAATATAGTCTATTCCAAAGCTGATTTCGACGTACTTTAGCTTTTCAGAAACCGCTGGCCTTCTTCAGTGAGATTATCAACTGTTTCAGAAACATATTTGATCGTAAACAGCTAAAATATTCTCCGAAAGTCTATATTTTTGTTCTTCGACGCGAAAATGGCAACTCAAGAAGAAATGAACCGCTATTTTTGGTCAGCGTCGACAGATTGCTTCAGATCATGAGAATCCGCACGATGTGTGAAAGGATTAATTGGTAACCATAGTTTTGTGTCAAAGTTGGTGAACTGATGACATCTATTAATTGTCGAACCTTGCTACTTATTTGTAATAGTATCTTTGAAACAAAACTTCTTTTAATATTAAATGCTGAATTAGTTTCTTTAATATTTCGACTTCATATTACACATTGCAAATTGTGGTCGTCATATACAAACAAAAATCGCGCGCCAAATTCGAATATTGCACGCCAATAAAACATTCAAGTGTTTTCCATCAGAGATTAAACGGGTCAAACTTGAAGACTTGCGAGACGACAAAGGTCGCCAAGTATCGCATCGCCGTTTCTTTGCCGGGGTGACTGAATACGTTATAACTGGCACAACAGATGTTATGTTCTCGACGCTTGGGGCAAGTAAGGCATTCGAATTAGTGGTATCAGAGCAAAGTCGGCTGCTGCTATTATCATGGTTATAATTCAACAAACCCTATTTCTGCGCGAATTGTACTGATTATATATATCAATAGACCGCAAACGGCAAACAGTGCACGAGGTAGACAATATTGAAAAATGGACGGAAACAAACAGAATGTCATTAAATCTAGATAAAACATGGGAAATGGTGGCAAATCAACAAATCCTTTACCAGAACCAATAACGGGTATCGAACGCAAGACTTGGCTGAAACTATTGGGAACTACACTGCAGAATGATCCAAATTGTTGGGACCTTCAAGTTAATAATTTGATATCTAAAGCTAGCAGTCGAATGCACATTTTGAGAATATGCAGATCGTATGGTTACTCTAAAAAACAATTCTCTTCGACGCACTTATTATGTCTTTATTTTCTTATGGAATCGAAGTATGGGGTTCAGCACTTGAAAAGAAGTACCTGGAACGGATTGATAAATTCCTTAGGCGAGCATACAGATATGGATACACAACAAAAAGTGTTCAGATAATTGATGTGATTAAAGAAAGAGACATGAGTTTATTTGAAAAAATATGTAGCAACCCAGACCACCCTTTATATGAACTACTTCCTCCTAAAAGACAAAGACCGTTAAGAGAACGCGAAAACGATTTCATATTACCTATGGTTAAAACAGAAAGATTCAAACAGTTGTTTTTAAATAGGTGTCTTTTTAATAATTTTAGCTAAAATAATTAACTTAGATACATAATAATAACTTAGTCTTAGTCTTTTTAATAATTCTACCTAAGAATAATTAACTTAGATACATAATAATAATCAAGTTTATTTTTTTGGAACCTTGTATATGAGAATTTTAAATGTAAAGTCACACGTCTGTTGTGGCTATGTTTAATAAAGACTTAATAATAATAATAAATCTTTTTGTTTTAAAATCGGTAGGCCAAAGCTAGCGCAAATTTGTGTTTATATTATAAAGACTAATTTAGTGGAGACTCTTGTGTTCAGAAAGATGTCAGTATCTTTTGCTGACAGGTTAAGAAGATGTAGTCATCTTTGCTATAATCAGTTGAACCTAAATTTTTATAATCTAGTAACACATCTAATTATGCATGAATCATTTTATATGATATTGCGGTTGCAGCTGATACGGTAGCTATATAGGTCTGTCATAGTTATAATTCAACAAGCCGTATATATTTCTGCGCGAATTGTACTGTAGAACTGGCCAGCCAAATAGAATGGCTATATCAAGACTAGAGACCGCAAACAGTACACGAAATCTTTTTGTTTTAAAATCAGTGTGCAAACGCCAAAGCTAGCGCAAATTTGTGTTTATATTATCCAGAATAATTTAGTGGAGACTCTTGTGTTCAGAAAGATGCAGTCATCTTTTGCTGCCAGGTTAAGAAGATATGCAGTCATCTTTCCTTAATCAGTTGAACCTAAATTTTTATAATATAATAACCCATGCATCCTATTATGCATGAATCATTTTATATGATATTGTGGTTGCAGCCGATACGGTAGCTATTATAGGCCTGTATTATCATAGTTATATAATTCAACAAGCCTTATTTATGGGCGAACTGTACTGACTAGAACTGGCCAGCCAATTAAATATAGAATATATATAGCTATATGAAGAGACCGCAAACAGTACACGAAATCTTTTTGTTTTAAAATCAGTGTGCAAACGCCAAAGCTAGCGCAAATTTGTGTTTATATTATAAAGACCAATTTAGCGAAGACTCTTGTGTTCAGAAAGATGCAGTTATCTTTTGCTGACAGGTTAAGAAGATGTAGTCATCTTTGCTTAATGAGTTGAACCTAAATATATAATGAAAACACATCCTATTATGCATGAATCATTGTACAGGGTGTCTCAAAAAAACCCAAAATCATTGAAATAACGTATTGTTCGAATTTCAATGCCGTAACACAAAGGATTTTGACAGGGTCATTAATTTGTTTTAAAAAATTAAAATATCTTTGTTTAGTGAACGTTTGTTTGCTCATGGGAATTTAAAAATGCTTCGTAAATTGTAATATGCATTCGTGGGTTTGGTACTTTATGCCTGACATAACAAGTTTACGCTGAGTATTACCATTCATTATAGCAGTTATGTCAATCTTTTATGCACTCGTGGGATTAACTTAGTGCTAGGGCATTGAATATCGAACAATACGTCAATTTCAATGATTTTGGTTTTTTTTGACACACCCTGTATATGATATTATATACAATAGGTCCGTATTATCATGGTTATAATTTAACAAACCTTATTTCTGCGCGAACTGTACACTGATTAGAATCGACCAGCCAAATAGTGAAATATAATGTATATATCAAGACTAAGAGACCGCAAATAATACACGAAATATTTTTGTTTTTAAATCACTGTGTATGCAAACGCCAAAGCTAGCGCAAATTTGTGTTTATATTATAAAGACTAATTTAGTGGAGACTCTTGTGTTCAGAAAGATGCAGTCATCTTTTGCTGACAGGTTAAGAAGATGCATCTTTGCTAATGAAAACACATTCTGTATATGTCATGTGTTCTATGGAATTGGTATATATGCAAATATTCATAACTCATTAATAAGCCTTTCTGCGCGAGTTGCAACTACATGTCAAGGCTATTCTCATTTAGAATCTAACCAAATAAAACCTATATAGGATATAATTGAATACCCTCACAGGTACAGGCTTCTGTAAGCAAGTTCCAACCGTCAATATCGCATGTTCACCTGCTCTATATCATAATAAAATGTTTGTATTGCATTTCACGGGATTTCACAAGACTAGTAACTTATTTCTAAATATTGAACTAAAGGGCACATGCTAATTTTCATATACCCACTGTGAACAGAACCAGATTGATGACTGTTTTGTCTATTAATTTTATTGGGATTAGGCATAATTGCATCCGGCGAAGTGCACAAATTTTGTGCAGCAGTTGACAAATTTGTAAATTGACACCTTTTTTCGGCCGGGTAAAGGGCAATAAATTTGTGGGAAAAATTTCTGAACCCGGTTGACATTGTGAATAGCACTTCATTTTATTTGTTTATTTATGAACTACATGTTTGTAAATAAAATACATTATTTTGAGTTTGGGAAAATTACCACAGATTTTTATCATCATTTAATTACCCTGCGGTGCAGACGCTTCGTATTTCATGATGATCATGATTTCAACCGTTTTATCATGAAATACGAAGCATCTGCACCGCAGGCTATGTGGAAGTAGGCTAAGAATTAAAATGCCACCTCGCCTTGGGGAAGAGTAGCCTACGGTGTAGACCCCAGCAGAATAAGAGCGACGTTGAAAAAAACACTGACAATCGCTTTTCACACTTTTCAAAGGCGCTGTGCAGTGGGTTAAATAAGACGTTGGGTGGCTTGAAGATTTGCTGTGAAAAGATTGTTCGCAATATTAACTGCCATTGGTGCATATAAATTTCAAAATAATGTCGGTTGGTCATTCGCTAGATAGCAGAATGATAATGGAATGAATATAGACTCACAGGATGAGAGTAACATTAACAACTTTGTGGCCTTTGTTCTCAACTGCTCTAAAGAAAAGATTAGAGAGAAACGACTGGAAATAGTCTCTCTTATAACAATGAGAATATGTAATCTGCTGTGTTGGTGTAATGTACTCAGGCGGTGAATAAGATGTTTGTGTGATGTTACTCTGAGTGTATATCCACACCGGGCAGGCTTGAAAAATATGCCTGGCCACGGCGGGATATAGCCAGGCATATTTTTCAAGCCTGCCCGGTGTGGATATACACTCAGAGTAACATCACACAAACATCTTAATGAGAATGTGTTTATTCGTGGTTTTTTGGAGAACGAGACATACACATGCATTGACACATTAGAATGTATAATATCCATGAGGTAATAACAATGAAAATATATGTTCATTCCTTTTTCGCCTTGGAGAACGAAGCATACACATTCATATATGAAGATGTCACTAAGCATATATGAGCTATTGTAATAACAAAACACACTGATAAAAGAAAATGTAAACGCGTATGTGCAGTAATAAGAATGAAAATATCTGTTTATTATATTAATAAATGCTTGCCAAAGTTCATAGAGACGCATAATGCGTCTCTAGTATGAAAAGGAGCAATGGAACTGTCGCCTTTAAATGACAGATACTGCGTCGTAACTTAAAATCCCGCTTGAGTGAACTTTAATATTTAAATGAAAAGGGGCAATGGAACTGTCGTCTTTATTTAGATGACAGATACTCGGCGTCGTAACTTAAAATCCCGCTTGAGTGAACTTTAATATTTAAATATATAATGCCGATGCGGCGAGGCAAACCGCACTAGACATAAACATATCAGGACTATATAGCAATGAAAATTTGTGGGTTTTGGAGAACGAGGGATACACATGCATTCATATATTAAGAATTTAAAATGTCTAATATACATGACTCATGAGATAATAAGTAATAACAGTCAATGAAAATATATGTTCATTTCTTTTTCGCCTTTTGGAGAACGAAGCATACACACTCATATATGAAGATGTAAACATATAAGAAGTTAGTAATAACAAAACACATTGATATATGAAAATGTAAACGTATGTGAGGTAATAAGGATGAAAATATCTGTTTATTTTCACCATACGCACGATGTGCACGGATCGTACGGATTTAGTGGCCAGGGCATCAATTGCATGATTAGTGTTTGTTGCATTGTTGGAGGTAAACATGCACAGCTTGAGGTTTTTTACCATGTGTTACGGATCGTGAGGTACGTTTACGATCTGTGTCATATAGTGATTGTTTGACCATGTGTTACGGATCGTGAAGTATATTCACGATCTGTGTTGCATCGTGATTGTTTCACACTTTCACCATGTGTTACGGATCGTGAACTATATTCACGATCCGTGACCCATCGTGATATTGGACATGTATGCTAATACTCGACAAACGTTTATAGAAAATTTACACGCAATAGGTATATAACATGCTGAAATAAATTTCCGCAATTATAAATATCCTTTATTTCTTTGAATAACCTTGAGCCAAAACATACTGAGCTCAACAAAGAAAAAATAAAAAGATTGCCAACCTTTCTTCATCCTTAGGAAAACTAAAAAAGGATAATTTCTTGTTTCTTCTTTTGTTGTTCGTACAATTTACGGCAGAGCACCAAGTTGTACCTAATTGCCTTTTCTTGCTTGAATTAGTTGAATTTTCCATGTTTGAATTACAACATACCAACTAATATCGTATATCTATTTACTTTTTCACATTTTTGAAAATAAAAATATTGGGTTTTTTATGATATCACATTGCACGTGAAGATTTTGCCTTATTTTTACCACCACAAAACTCAGAATAGAAATGACAATGTTAAAGATTTGTGACACAATTTATTGTGCTATTTTTGGTGTTGTCATAAATCATTTGAGCAATGCTTAATATAGAACTTAAAATATGTCAAATTTACAGGTTATAAATAAACAGGTTAATATGGACGAGTGCA